AGGTTTCAGTGTGATATGTGTAACATTGTTATGTTTATTAACTCAGAAAAGTCGAAACCTGAAACCTTTTTGCCGATAAACGATGCCGCCGTAAACGGATCAATAGCAGCTGGAATTGGTTTTACACAATTATCTGAATTATGTGCGGTTATGGATATCCCTTGTATGTCTTCGTCTACTTTTCTCTCAGTACAAGAGTTTATTGCTAAAAAAATCCATGAAGTCGCTGAGGCGCAAATGAAAATTGCTGGTGACGAAGAACGTCGTTTAGCAATAGAAGCTGGATCAGTAGATATTGACGGAATTCCCATGTGTACGGTTGTCGCAGATGGACAATGGTCTAAGCGCAGTTACAAGACTAAATATGATGCATTATCCGGAGTAGTAAGAAATGTATAAATACCAATTTTATAAATTTTAATTTTACATTTATAATTTCAGGCAACAATAATTGGTTATAGATCGAAAAAAATTTTGTTTGTGGGCATTAAAAATCGGTTTTGTGTAATTTGTCAGAGAGCGAAAAATAAAAAATTACATCCGTCTGAACATACATGTTTTTTAAATTGGAAAAAAGGTGCTACAAGTATGGAAGCTGATGGTATTGCTGATGGTTTTAAACGGAGTTTAGAAATGCATGGTCTAAAATACAATAAAATAATAGGTAAATTAAACTACGTTTTTCAATCGTGCATATTGTTCAACTACCAAAATAATTTTAAAAAAATTTAGTTAATTCCTAATAAATTTAATCAAAAAAAAATTCTAGGAGACGGAGACTCGAGTGTTACAAAAAGACTAACTGACATAATGCCTTATGGCCCTAGACTACGAGTAATAAAAATAGAATGTCGCAACCATTTATTGCGAAACTATGGAACAAAATTGAGGGCTATGACGTTAAATACAAAGTACCCGATTTCGTTAAGGAATCATATAAAATCAAATATATTACGCTTTAGATTTTCAATAACTAAGGCAATTGAATATCGCAATAGTTTATCAGGTCAAACAGATTATCAAAAATCAGTTGGTAAGTTGATTATTATAATTCTGTTTTGTTAACATTATTCATACAATTATTGTATTATAATATTATACACATATATTATTTAAGGACTACGCCAAGATATACATGACAGTATGTGAATCATACTTTTGTAAAGGTCCGCAAGGTTAGGAAAAAAATGAAAAAAATATGATTGAAGACGCAGAGCGATCAGGGCTTGTGAGCGATATATTCCAAATAATAACTCACTTAGTCGCAAATGTTGAAAGTTTACTGATGAATATGGACAATAACGTGTGTGAACAATTCAATAGTGTAATTAATAAACATTTAGCGGGTAAACGAATAAATTATTCACCAAGAAATTCGTATAATGCTCGAGTTGAAGTTATATCATCCAACTCGGGTGGACAATTTCTTCGTTTGATGCATAAAAATATAGTCAATGAAATAAGTCCAGGTGAATACCATACATTTATTTTTATTCTAAACAATTTGATGTACCTACCTAATATAACGATCATGATATTATTAATTACACTTATTATTAGGTAGGTATAATATATAGTTATAATTTTATTTGTACAAAACATTTATACAAAATGAATATGTTTTTTCTATAGGAGAAATAGGAAAAAAATTTCTAAGATCTAGTGAAAAGAAAAGATACCAGCCTAAATCTAAAAAACTTCTTTTCTCTAGAAATTCAGAAAAAAGATTTAATACTGGCCCGGATCAACATTATGGTTTAGCTGAGCCATTGCCGGAAGATGATATTTCAAAAAAAGTATTAGAAAAAACTAAAGAAAATTGTATTAATGCATTACAACTCAATAGACGTGAACGGTTAGCCGTTGAAGAACAAACAAGGGAACAGGCAAACTCTCAAATTTGGCACGTTGAACGTAGAAATCGGCTCACCGCGTCAAATTTTTGCTGCGTTTGTATACTTCGGCCAACTACATCGTGCAAAAATACTGTTTATAGTATAATGTATAGGAAATTTTCTTCATAAGCAACAGATTATGGTAAAGCCACTGAACCACAAGCTATCGTCGCATTGGAAAAAAAATTAAATTGTAAAGTGAATCAATGTGGACTTATTATTGATGAACATTTTCCTTATTTAGCAGCTTCTCCTGGTAAAATATCCCTATAATGCCTATAGTACTTAATTATAAATATTAATTAAATCAACATTGCTAATTTAGTTTTTTTATAATTTATAGACGGTCTTGTCAATGATGATTTTATTGTTGAAATTAAATGCCCATTTGGAGTAAAAGACACTAACACATTTTTGGAAGCTATAAACAGTAAAAAAGCAAGTGAATTATTATGTACACAAAAAACGATCCTCCGAAAAAATTTAATTCGATATACTTTAAAAGTTTCAAGAACCCCCAGTAAAATTTATAAATTTAAAAAAAAAATAAATCAAATTATTATTCTCCGTTTCAATAATTGATTTTGAGTAAGGAGTACAGTTTTTTCTTAATTTTTTTTTTGTTTTTTCTGAAGCTTTTGAAATCTACCGGGAATTTTTAATTTTTAGCTCTTCAATTTGGTAAATTCACTTTTCTACTAGAGTAGTTACTATAGTGGAAGATCGAAGAATTATTACAATTACTTATAGTGTACACACAGACACAACAATTAAAAAATAAATGAAATATTAATATATTAGTCGCATTTGTATCTGAAATATAAAATGTTCTCATTGTAATATTTAATTTCAGTTATCCTTCTGTCGTCTCAGTGAAAACGGGAAAATGGAATTAAAAGTGGACCATAGTTATTATTATCAAGTTCAAGGACAGATGCAAATTTCAAAACGAAATTTCTGTTATTTTGTCGTTTATTCGCCGAATTGGATGGAAATACAAATAATTAAATTCGATGATTCTTTTTGGCACGAGAATATGATTGAATAGTTAAAAGTGTAATTGAAATTTTTTTTTAAATGTATAGTAATTAAATTTTTGTATTATTATTAAATTATATACACATGTAAAATTTTATTTTCAGTTTTTATACAGAATGCTTACTTCCAGAAATAGTAAATCCCCAATATGAAAGAGGCTGTTGGTAGATGACATTTTAGATCCTCAACATATTTTGGAAAATATAAAATCAAAAACCTGCACAAAGACTGCAAAAACAAAATTATAGAAATGAAAAAAAAAATTAAAACTTTCTATAAATGTCGATTAAAATTAGTAAACATTGATAGGCCGTGCCTAATTTATATAATATGTAGTAATTATGATAATTACCTACTATATCAATAAAAAAATAAATAATCTGTTATACATCTACTTCCTAATTAAAAATAAATACTATTATTTAATACAACGTTTAATTTATTATATTATGTTAACTTTTTAGTTATCTTACAAATTACATTATATGAACAATGAACATGTTTGGTTTACACAGATTGTTTTTTTACATAGATACTGTAAATTGCAATAATATAAATAATTATAGTATTATAGTAGGTATTTATTTAATGAATATTATGTACCACAATCAACTTCGTATTTTATGTAGGTATTATGTTTAAAATTAAAATAAGTAAATACATCAATATTTACTAATCAAAACTATTTAAAATGTTGCTAATATTTATTTAGGAGATTAAATTATCGCATAAAAATTGCTTCATGTCACTTATCAGTTAAAATGTAAGATACTCAACATTTTTACTAAAAAATCTATTTAATCGTAATGGAATTATTATTTTACATGTATTTTAAAAAGTAATTGGGTTAAAAATATAAATCGAGTTATGGTGTATAAAAACTTGTATGCTTAATTTATTGGTTAGTACTTATAAGCAAACAGGAGGTTTAATTAAAAAATAGGTGTGCGATTTGTGAGCTAGGAGCGAGCCAGCGCACCGTTTAGTATTCATGGGCGACAATTTACGCAACGGTCTGTAATGACGCGAAACATTCTGAACGATAGTTTGTGAAATAATAATGCGCCTCTCCCGCGACTAAGCAGCTTGAGCCTCGTCACGGAAAAAGTGGGCGTTTTTACGGCCAGCCACGGCGGCGACGATATGGCGCACAACGCCATCTCTTGAGCGTTGTATTCTTTTTACTTTTACTGTGAGGGCCTCTTAAGAAATTAGAGTGATTCGACCTATTATGGAACTTGATGGCAAGAACATTATCTGTGTTTGTATGTTTGTTTTTTACAATACATACATTTTTAGAAAGTTATGCGTATATAATATAGCGTAAATTAAAAGTTCTCATAACATTAAAAAACTGAACAATCGTAAAAAAAAACAAACTTACGAACACAGAATATGTTATTTGGGGGATGAGGTGACCGAGTGGTCTGACGCGTCCGCTGCGACGCAGCCGGTCGCGGTTCGATCCTCGGCTACCGGGCGGCATTTTTCTCCGGACAAGTCGCGGTGACCGGGGAACAAGTGCTGCCATCCCCCGCTCCCGGGGCATGGCAGAAACCTACGGGTGCCCCATTCGAAATTCTGCCAAAAACAAACACACACGTGTTCCCCCCTACCGTTCCAAAAAAAAATATACAATACAAACTACAATACAAATCCTACTACAGCTAATGGCCTCAGTTGCCGAAGCTTAAGTTCAATAAAAAAAAAAAAATATGTTCTTACCATCAAGTTTCATAATAGGTCGATACACTCTGAATTTTAAACTAACGGAGCTAAACATCATCTTCTGATTGTAAATTTGCTATGTTATGTACTTGTAAGGCGGAGACAACCAATACCCAGTTAGGGTTGTTACGTGGTAACAATTAAATTATTGTCTATCACTACTGGTATACGGTGTGTAATTGTGTATCCGTAGTGATAGATCATGTACCAAACGGGGGAATATGAGAGGATTCGGATGTTCGACAAGACAAGTAGTTATACCGAGTATAATTTAACGTATATTTTAAAATGTAAAACAAAAAATGTAATATAAAATATTTTACTTTACCGATGACCTGGCAGCAACAATACACGGAGCAAGTCGTGAGACGAGACTAACTTCGTTCGGCTGACGAATGTCAAGCAGGCCGAACCATTATTATACATTTTGTTAAAGGACTATGCAACTAAAAAAAAAATGATATTTTTTTATTGTGTGAAAATGTAGTACTTTAAAAAGAATGATTTTGATGCTCTCAAAATTGTTGTCGGACAATTGCTTCCGTGTTTAAATATAAGTCGCGTTTTACGCTTGACGTCATAAAATCACACCGTCCGTCGGGCCGTATCTAAAATACACACGTGGTATGTCTTTCACGCGATTAAAATAACTATAGAGACAAATTGATTCAACATTAATAATATGATACTTTTTATTTTAAGTTTAAACAAATATTTTATTATAATTTATAATAATATAAGAACTAAAATAAATATGTAAGAAATCCTCAATATAAAATATATTCATTCAAACAAAAATACATAATATACTATACGCAATTAAATTTTTATAATTATCATTAGTTATATTATATTTTTATGTAAATCTTGAATACCTTTTAGATTTTAATTCTTCATAAGAAGGGCTAGGTGTTCGATAAATATTTTTTGGGATGTCGGTGTTACACTCTTTTTGTACATCAAACGGTTGTGGTGAAATTTCTTTTTCTGCTTCTTCGATAATTTTTGACATAATATCACGTTTCCAATTATTTTGAGTTTTATTGTAAGAATTTTTTATTGTAAATCGCCCTAGCGGCTTAGAAAATACAACTTTTTCTCCTATTAATGTTTTTTCAGTATTATTGTTATGGTCAAGTATTGCTAATATAGATCGTACGAACATACCATTGAACTGTAAATGGATACGTTTAGGCATATACTTGAGCCTCACGTTGTGATAGGATTCCAATTTTCCGGTGTGCACAAAATGTTTTGCTTGTCTCAAATCTTTAATGAATTCCTTCGCAGTTAAAATTTTTTTTAAAGCATCATAAGAATTAGTTTCCATATGTATCCAAAGCTTATTTTTTACTTGTTCGTCGGTCAGTTTTTCTTGTTCACATTGTTTTGTTATACCGTGTTCGTCTGTCCATTCATGAATATTAGCAATATGATATAAAATAGAAAGAAATTTATCTACTAATAAATCAGCATTTTCTTTGCACGTCTGTGCTGACCACCATAAGTGATTATTAATACTTGATTTCCATAAATAGACATCGGGATATTTTTTCTCTAATATCTTTATTTTTTTCATAAGACTCTTAGACAGATGCCATATGTCAAACTCATGGGTTATTTCGGGGTGCTGGGTTCGGAAAAAATATCGAATACCTCTATGACGGTCAGATAGAAACAGTTGAATCTTACAATCATATTCTACAGTTAATTTTTGTAACAACATTTCGCATGCGGCTCTTTCGAGGTCGCCCGTGACCATCCCTTTTTGGACTAATTGAAAATCAATTATTTTGGAACTATTTAAATCCATAACCGAATAAATACAATACTTGGCGCAAAATTCCGGCGAATCGTATTGACCATCACCAGCAAGCCAGATGTTGGACAATGTTTTTAAATTGTTAATATTATCTTGTTTGTGATATGTCCAAACATTGTAAACCACAGGTCCAATATAATTTTTTATGATTTTGTCATAAGATGTTCTAGAGAAAAAACGTAAATTCAATACTTGACAAAATTCAACCATTTGGGAAAATAATATACCTGATAACATGAGTGCCGATCCAATACATATATTGCCAATTGCTCTTTTTTTAATTTTTTTTTGTGAGTACCACTGAAACGTATGATTTTTTTCACATACAGTAATAACACACAGACATGAACCTTGAATATAATTGTTTGTAGATAATATTTTCGACCCACACACATTACAATTATTAAAAAGCTTTAATAGATATTCCCAAAAAACGATAAAACACTCATCTTTATTTATATGTATTGATGATTTAATATTTTTTGACTTACAAGTATTATAACTTATTTTCGATTCTGTAATCTCATCATCACTGGTATTTTCGCTGTCCTCGGATTCCGATTCTATTTCAAACGATAAGTCATTTTTTATTTCATAGTTAGTTACTCTGATCAAATTTTCATTTCCCAATTCACACTGTATACCTATTTCACTTGTTTTTTTAATTTTATTATTGATGTCTGGCTCCTCAATAGCTGAAACATCGTCAATTTCTTCAAAACACGACTTTGTTATCATTTTTTTCTTTGGTGTACTAGTTTTTATTACATCATCAATTATTTCTGTTTGTCGTTTTTTAAAAAAATGCAGTGATTCTTGCCTGGGATTTACAGATATTTTTGAATTGCTTAAACCAATTTGAATACTAGGTACTGCGTCGGGATTTAATCTTACAATGCACTTGGATTCTGGCATAAGTTGTCTTTTTAAAACATCTGATTGATTAAAATCAAGCGGGAGAAAATGTTTAGAACAAATGACGGACCCAGCACTAGCTTTAAAGTTTTTTCTTTTACAAAAATGCTCCCATTTTCGATGCCGTAATGTTGATTTATTGCGTTTTGGAAAAGTATAAAAATGTAAATTATTATCATTATCAACTTGTTTACGCTTACGATCGTTATTCTACGTACAACCAAATACCGAGCACAAAGTCATATTTGTATGATTATAAATAAAACCAAAAAACACGCGGATACTTCGACACTTCATTTGTACACACTATCGACTACCGACTGTCAACTGAGCTCTAACTGTATAAGATATAATTTGTATTTGTTTGGAATGTGAATAGAGTGTTTATTTTTATCAATTAATTTATATTACACAAAATATTAGCTATTTATAAAAGCTATAAATAATATGCTCTATTGGTGATAACTGCAGATTACGTATACAAATTCATAAGATCGATTCTATTACAGTACCTAATGCAGTGAACACTGCCTGATTCAATTTCATATTAGTCTACCGTACTAGAGTCTAAACAGTTAACGATTTTTATTTTATTTGGAATTTTATAATAAAATTATACTTTATTATGTCTATAGTTCCGTACAATTTTGAGCCTTTGGTTACCGATGTTGATAACTATGATTATTTAGAGTACGAAAAGTCAGTAGTTAGTTACAACGATAGATCTAAATTAGCTGTAACAGAGTGGTGCTCGTGTGGAAAATGTGAAAAACAGATAAATGACTGTGAATGTGTATGTTGTTTTGAACTTCCGAATATTTTTAAAATGTGCATAAACAATGAGTGCATAACGAAAAATGCATTATTTTCAAAAATTATATTAGATGAAGACATTTTAAAAATTACCAGACAGTACATGAT